TGCCACATGCACTGGTGCTGGAAGTTCTTTCCTTAGCAGTATCCACAGGGGGACTGGCTGTGGTGCCCCCTAGATTGGCACATAACATTGCACAGAATATGGGGCACCACCATCGTACCCCCATTCTCCGTTCCTTCTCGCTGGAAACTCAGACAGTGGAGGAGGAGGTCAGGACACGGAATGGACATAAGCAACACATCGCACATACCAGCAGGTATGGAAGCAGGTAACTGTTTTTTCTTCAAGTGCTTCTAATGTCCATTCAACGTAGGTGACTCCAACCAGTACCTATGGAGGGTAGGAGTTTATGGACATATAGACTGGAACACAGTTCTGCCAAACTATTATGTGGGTCATTAGTGGGCATGAGCCTCTTACAACAATCAGAAGGCTTAAAGCCTGGGGACTGGGGCATGCCCCATCCTAAGGCACAGTCCTGTATCTAGCTATCCAAGAGGGAAACTAGAACTATACATGAGACAACTAGGGGGAAAGGAGTTGAAAAATGGGAAGCAAGTAACAGTGTTAGCTGAAGCAGTAGACTTTCAGCACTGTTACTATTGGTAAAAAGGAACTGGAGGGGTGGCAGCACCCTATTACTGCACTATGCGTGCACTGCTCCAGAGGGTGCCAGAGCCAGTTCCCCTATGGATATTGTAGAGGGAAAAACTTCCAGCACCAATGCATAGTTCGATCACACGCACCTAAGGACATGAGCAATCACTCAAAAGAACAATTCTTAGTTCTGTGGCTATTCATATAGACAATGCTTAGTAGTTAAAAGAAATGGAAGTGAGAAAAGTAAGAAACATAAAAATATATTTAGAATTACCAGTTGCATTTACTGATACAGAAGCAGCAACCAACATTTTCTGAAATGGATCTTCAGGAGTATTACTGAGAATTACAGAATTTATACTCTCCTTTTCTATGCAGACGCATCTAGGAAAAAAGAGAAGTTAGCTGAAATGCGTATCTGAAAATCCTTTTAAAATTATGAATCAGCCATAAGTGACTCTACTTACTGAGTCAAGTTTTTAATGAATCCAGGTTCTGAGCTTAGCATTCTAGATAAGAACATAAGAGTGGCCATACTAGGTCAGACCAACGGTCCATCTAGCCCAATATCCTGTCTGCCGACAGTGGCCAATACCAGATGCCTCAGAGGGAGGGAACACAACAGGTTATCCTCACATGATTCCTCCCATCACCCACTTCCAGACAAGATATTAAATACAATTTCTGGGGACATTAAAGCTATAACAATAAATTTTCCCATTCTTCTCAGAACTTTTAATGATATTATCAGAGTTGCAGATGCAATAGTATTGAATCATAATGTGAATTAATAAAATAATTAAAGATGTGAAAATTTGTATTTAAATAACTCTTATCTACCAATGCAATAACCTATGGTTTGTCTACCATTCATGGTGAAAGCTTTATCATACCTGAATCTGGAAATTTGGGTCATGCTGTGACACTTCAGCTCATAAGGATTGAAGGGGCCATGAAGGATTGCCTTTGAAACAAGATAGGTCAAATTTTCAGTTTTTAGAAGAAAATAAACAAACATACATACACACATATAATTGTAATACTTTATCGGCTATATATTAACATCTAATATTTTCAAACTTGGGTGCCTAAAGTTAAGTACCTAAATTTACATCTAGGCCCCTATATAAAAAATACCTCTTTTTTTCAGGAGCTAAGCAATCATAATTTCTCAATAACTTGAATAGGACTTGGGAGTTCCACACCATGTCTAAAAATCAGGCCATTTGTATTTAAGTGTCTAGCTTCCTAATCTTATAAACACTATGCATCTGTTTACGTTTTGGCATGAAAGTAGCCCCACTGAATTTTGGCTATGCGTCTTTATGAAATGCGACCAAATCAACAGTTTTGAGTTTGCCTGAGTCATCTAGTGTATCACCAGTTGCACTTAAGAGTGCAGTAGTAACTTTGCATCATCAGATCTCTGTTAGTCTACTTACTATGAAACCAAGGCAGCAATTATTTTTCCATATATATTTACATTCAAGTTATCAGAAATAAATGCACACAACCATAGTGTATGCTTTAGGATGCACCATGTATGCAAGCTCTCTTGACCAGAAAACATAAAGCAATGTCCATGGGCCTGTTTCTACATAGAGTAGCACCTACTGCCTCCAAACAAAGGCATAAAAAGGAGGTGCAGACCCAACACTCCTCAGTTCTCTCTCACTGCAAAGCAGAGTCTCCACAGCTGAAGATAGGAAGGGCAGAAGGTTGAGCACTCATTTGAAAAAAAAAAAAAAAGACTTCTTGAAGAACTCAAGTTACACTAAGGGAAGTAACCTTTCCTTACATAAGGACAGGGTCAGACTAAAGGTCCATCTAGCCTAATATCCTGTTTTCCAACAGTGATCAGTGCCAGGTGTCCCAGAGGGAATAAACAGAACAGCTAATCAAATGATCCATCCCATTTTGCCAGCTTCCGCGGTGGTGAGCAGGAAGTCGCCACAGGGCTACACATACAAACCGCTAGTTCGAATTTAAATGGAACTAGCGGAGCGCTTAATTCGAACTAGCGGAGCGCTTTTTTCCTTTTTCCTCTTTCGAAAAAACTCCCTTTTCCCCTGCTGCCGATGAATTTCATTTGGTGACCCCAAGTTCTTATATTGTGGGAATAAGTAAATAACTTTTCTTTATTCACTTTTCCCACACCAGTCATGATTTTATAGACCTTTATCATATCCCTCCTTAGACATCTATTTCCAAGCTGAAAAGTCCCAATCTTATTAATCTCTCCTCATATGGCAACCTTTCTTTACTCCCAATAATTTTTGTTGCCTTTCTGAACTTTTTCCAATGCCACAATTTTTTATTTTTTTTTAAAGATGAGGTGATCACATCTGCATGCAGTATTCAAGATGTGGGTGTTTCATGTATGTATATAGAGTCATTAAGATATTCTCTTTCTTATTCTCTATCCCTTTATGATTCCTAAGATTCCGTTTGTTTTCTGACTGCTGCTGCACACTGAGTGGATGTTTCCAAAGAATTGTCCACAATGATTCCAAGATCTCTTTTGAGTAGTAACACTTAATTTCATCCCTATATAAGTAGTTGGGATTATGTTTATCCAATACTTCTCATTTACTAACATTAAAACTCATCTGCCATTTTGTTGCCCAGTCACCCAGTTTTGTGAGACCCTTTTTTTGAATCTCTTCACAGTCTGCTTTGGACTTCACTATCTTGAGCTGTTTAGTAACATCTGCAAATTTTGCTACCTCACGGTTTACCCACTTCTCAAGATTACTTATGAATGTGTTTAATAAGACTGGTCCCACTGCAGACCCCTGGGTAATGCCACTAGTTACCTCTTTCCATTCTGAAAATTTACCTTTTATTCCTACCCTTTGTTTCCTATCTTTTAACAAGTTATCAATCCCTCTCAGGACCTTTGCCATTATCCCATGACAACTTACTTTTCCTTAAGAACCTTTGGTGCAAGACCTTGTCAAAGGCTTTCTGGAAATCTAAGTACACTATATCCCTGGATTTGCCTTGTCTACATGCTTGTTGACTCCTCAAAGAATTCTAGTAGTCTGGTGAAACATTATTTCCTTTTACAGAAACCATACTGACTTTTCCCCAACAAACTATGTTCCTCTATGTGTCTGGCAATTCTGTTCTTTACTATAGTTTCAACCAATTTGACCAGTATGAAGTTAGATTTACCAGCCTGTAATTGCCAAGACCACCTCTAGAACTTTTTTTAAAAAATTGTCGTCACATGAGCTATCTTCCAGTCATTTAGTAGAGAAGATGATAATTTAAAGGATAGATTACAAATCACTGTTAGTAGTTCTGTAATTTCACATCTGAATTCTGAAGGTACTCTTGGGTGAATACTATCTGGTCCTGGTGACATATTACTGTTTACCAATTTGGTCCAAAATTTCCTCTAATGAACCTCAATCTGGGATAGTGACTCAGATTTGTTACCTACAAAGAATGGCTGAATTTTGGGAAACTCCCTCATTCCCCTTAGCCATGAAGACTAATGCAAAGTATTTATTTAGTTTCTCTGCAATGACGTTATTGTCTTTGAGTGCTCCTTTAGCATTTCAAGCATCTAGTGGCTCTGTACTCCCTGCTGACGCTTCACCAAGTTACTGCTTGAGAGTCTCCTACAATGAGGAGGTAAGTCCAAGATGGTTTGGAGTCACAAGTAGTATCATCTTTGGAAGAAAGCATAAGTGACAAAGATAGAAATAGATCATATTGCAATCTTATAAATGTCTGCTTTGGGAACATCTTTTAGTAACGCTCTAGATGTGGACTAAACTCTAGTGGAACATGCCAACACTGTGAGGAGGCTGCATCTCAGCAGATTCACAGCAGGTTAAGACACAACCAGAAACCCATTTATACAGTCTTTGAATGGAAATAGGTTGACCCTTCATCCTCTCTGCAAATTATACATATAGCCTAGGACAGGTCTAGTAAGGTCCTAGTCCTGTCAAAGTAGAATATGAGGGACCTTCTGAAGTCTTGTATATGGACTGGTGTATTCCTTGGAGATATGAAGTTATGGGTAGAACACTGGGAGGCAAATCTCATTATTTATGTGGTATTCCCAAGAGATCTTTGGGAGACAGCAAGAACAAGGATGCAGTGGAACTGGAAGTATATAGGGATCAACCATAACAGCAACAAACTCGCCCATTCATCTAGCTGAAGTGAAGGCTATGAGGAATGGAGTTTTAAGGGAGAGATGGAAGAAAGAACAGTAGCCAGTGTTTCAAATGGAGGTTTCTTCAGATCATGGAGAACCAAACTGAGGGCCTGGTTCCATATGGGGAGGGGGGAAATAAGCTGCATACACCCTTGATAACTCTATTTGTATTACTACGGGCAAAAACTGATAAGCCTTTGATGGCTGTTACTGCAGTTAGACACACTCCAACTGAGTTAATTGAATGACCTTTTATTTTAATCAGAGAATCCAGAATTTTGGGAAGTGGAATGTATGAGGCTTGGGAAGAATGAGAGGAACACCAAGAGTTGAAGAGTTTCCACTTTTGAAGTTAAGTTTTGTGATTACAAAATTTCCTGCTAGATAGGAGAACCCACTGGACTGCATCTGAATAGGTTAGAGTTCCATGCTTAGGAGTCATGCTCAAAGATTCAAAGATGAGGGGCTGGGAGGGATTAGGGTCTCCAAATTCTGTGAAGGAGATCCTTTCTAATACGTAGCTGAAGAGGTGCTGCCACAGAGAAGTGAAGCTGGTTTTAATCACTACACTTGTCTTGATAAGGATGGCAGTATAGGGATCAAAGGTAGAAGTGGATACGTAATACAGTAGGATATGTGGCATTGATATTCTAAGTGATAGAAATGTAGCCGTGTTAGTCTGGAGTAGCTGAAGCAAAATGCAGGACAATGTAGCACCTCCCAGTAGTGTTGCAGATTCGAGTATGATGCAGCTTTAATTGTGAATGCCAGGCAAATCATAGATCATTGTATTAGCGGATAGTAAGAGTTACTGGAATACATAGTTTCTCACCTTCAATTTTTTTTATTAATTCACCATTAGTATTACAGCTGTAACTTTGCAGTAGTTAAAAAAACCATCTCAGATATACATAATGTAATTAAAAAATCTGAGATGAGTGGGATAATTTATTGAAGCAGTGCAACACCTGCCTCCTGTGACACATGGCAGATTTGGGGATTCCCAGAAACAGACCTTTGTGCCACTCACTGAAAATGCTGGGGGGATTTTTCAGGGAAGACTAGTGGAATAGGATGGAAATGGATGGAGTATTCCATGCTGATCACCTCCACAAATCCATCTGCAAGAGGTAATTTGTGCCTAGGCAGGTAGGAAGTAGGATATCCAATCTCCAAAGGGGGGGGTTGGATGTAATAATTCAGCACAGGATTCAGTAAGGTAAGCTTCTTGAGGCCCTCAACCAAGATGTCAAAATTATTTTGTAGATGAGATGTTGCTATAGAAGGGGGGGGAAGCCCCTTTTCTGAGGTCTAGATCGCCTCCTCTGAAAAGCTCAAAATCTGGGAATGTTCTACTGAGTTTTGTATTGGAAAAGCTTAGTCTGTTGTGATATTTGAGACCTACTAAACTATCTCTTGGTTTTAGCAATGTAAACTCCCAGTGACTGTCAAGTAGCTCTCAAGTCCTTCAGAGTATAGAGGAAGGACTCCATGTCAGAGATGGAAACCTTGGATCTTAAAAGAGAAGGTCTGCAAACATATTCTGCACTTCTCTTGGGAGATGACAACTGGAGTCAAGATGCTCTCCACATAACCATGACTATATCTAGGGAAGTAGAAGCCGTGACTGAAACATCTAAAGCAGCCTGGAAGGAGATTCTGGTTTTCAAATTACTGTCTGAAATGAGAGCCTGAATTTGTTCTCTGATCTGTGGCAGGTGTTCAATAAAATGAATGAACATGCCATATATATTGCAATCCATATTTTACCAACATATTTGTTGCACAAAATTGCAGAGCTGCCAAGAAATAGCTTTTCTTACCAAGGAGGTCTAAATGTTTGGACTCTATTAGAGAGCCTGTCTATTCCTTTTGATAGTCAGGGCTAGCCCAAGGGAGTTGGGGTGGGATAAGGAAAAAAAACTCTCCAGTCTCTTGACCAGAATAATACTTTTTAAACTTCCTACTTACAGATGGGTTGGCAAATAGCAAGTATTTGCCAACCTCTGAGCAAATGATAATTGAGTCACATTTATTTGGAGTCCATTTTTCCCTGAGAGGTATTTTAAAATGCCCATCAAGGAATGTTTAAGACTCTTGGACCTTCTCTAGTGGGATCCGGAGAAATTCCACCACACATTTTACAGGCTCTTACACTGACCATTTCTGAGCCTTGCAAGAAGCTGGTGGGGGCACTACTATCTCATCAGGGGATGAAGAGAACTTCAAGCAAACTCACCCTGTCAGCTATCTAGGGATCATTCTTCTCCTTGGTGTCCCCAGGGGCTGAGAGGGCATTAGGTACTGAAGTGCAAATGTGTGGTACCGAAGGGCAATCCTGTGTGTGCACCCGTTGCAAGGAGCTCCTGACCCTCAGAGACCGAGTTCGGGCTTTGAAGGCCAGAGTGGCTGAACTGGAGGAGCTAAGAGAGGTAGAGAGATATGTTGAGGAGACTTTCCGGGACTCTGTAGTACTGTCCCACCTTCAGTCTGAGAGCCCCAGTGCTCTTAAAGAGGATGAAAGTCTCAAGGGAACAGAGCATTCAATGGGAACAGAGGGAAACCATCCCATAGTTGGGACCCTCCTTCCAGAGGATGTTGCGGTATCCTCTCGCACTGAGAATACCTCTGGGGAGGGGGGGGGAATGCCAGTTGTTAAGAAGAGGCAGGTGTTAGTAGTGGGTGATTCGATCGTTAGAAAAATAGATAGTTGAGTTTGTGATGATCTGGAGAACCGTATGGTCACTTGCCTGCCTGGTGCAAAGGTTGCAGATCTCTTGAGGCATCTAGATAGACTTATGTATAGTGCTGGGGAGGAGACGGTGGTCGTGGTACATGTAGGTACCAATGACGTAAGGAGAGATGTCCTGGAGGCCAAATTTAGGTTGCTAGGAAAGAGACTGAAATCCAGGACCTCTATACGCGCAGAGCCAGGTAGGCAGGCAGAACTTCAGAGTCTCAATGCGTGGATGAGACGGTGTAGGGAAGAGGGGTTTGGATTTATTAGGAACTAGGGACACTTTTGGGAGAGGAGGAGCATATACAGGAAGGATGGGCTCCACCTAAACCAGGGTGGAACCAGACTGCTGGCACTAAACATTAAAAAGGCCATAGAGCAGTATTTAAACTAAGAGATGGGGGAAAGCTGACTGGTGTGGAGATGTACATAAATCAGATGGAGCCTTCTCTTAGAGGAGAATACACTGACAGAGATTCTCTAAGCTGTAGTCAGAAAGAGAGGAGGGAAGAGGACAAACCAAGGGCCAGAGCAGACAAACAACCGCATATAAAGGAATCCAAAGCATCAGGGAAGGACAGACAAATAAGCAGTGGCAAATTTTTAAAGTGCTTCTACACAAATGCTAGGAGTCTGACTAATAAGATGGGTGAACTAGAGTTCCTCGTATTAAAGGAGGAGATTGACATAATAGGCATCACTGAAACCTGGTGGAATGAGGAAAATCTGTGGGACACAATCATACCGGGATCTAAAATATATCGAAAGGATAGAGCAGGCCACGTGGGTGGCGGGTGGTATGTGAAAGATAATGTAGAATCAAATGAAATAAAAATATTAAATGAATCAACATGTTCAACAGAATCGCTATGGATAGTAATTCCATGTTCCAATAATAAGAAATTAGCAGTAGGGATATATTACCAACCACCTGACCAGGACAGCGATACTGACATTGAAACGCTGAAGGAGATTAGAGAGGCTACCAAAATAAAGAACTCTATAATAATGGGGGATTTTAATTATACCCATATTGACTGGATACATGTCACCTCAGGAAGAGAAGCAGAGATAAAATTTCTCAATGTCTTAAATGACTGCTTCTTGGAGCAGCTGGTACAGGAACCCACAAAGGGAGAGGCAATTCTCGATTTAGTCCTGAGTGGAGCGCAGGATCAGGTCCAGGAGAGAACCGTTACAGGTCCGCTTGGGAATAGTGACCATAATATAATAACATTCAACATTCCTGTCGTGGGAAGAACACCTCAGCAGTCCTGCACTCTGGCATTTAATTTTGAAAAGGGGAATTACACAAAAATGAGGTGGTTAGTTAAACAGAAATTAAAACGCACAGCGACTAGAGCCAAATCCCTGCAAGCTGCATGGAAACTTTTTAAAGACACCATAATAGAGGCCCAACTTAAATGTATATCCCAAATTAAAAAACATAGCAAGAGACCTAAAAAAGAGAATCACCGTGGCTTAACCACCATGTAAAAGAAGCAGTGAGGGACAAAAAGGCATCTTTTAAGCAGCAGAAGTCCAATCCTAGTGAGATAAATAAAAAGGAACATAAACACTGTCAAACCAAGTGTAAAAATGTATTAAGAGAAGCAAAAAAAGATTTTGAGGAACAGCTAGCCAAAAACTCAAAAAGAAATAACAAAATGTTTTTTAAGTACATTAAAAGCAGGAAGCCTGCTAAAAAACCTGTGGGTCACCTAGACGATCGAGATATAAAAGGAGCAATCAAGGACGAAAAAGCAATTGCAGAGAAACTAAATGATTTCTTAACTTCAGTCTTCACGGCTGAGGATGTTAGGGAGATTCCCAAATCTGCACCGTCCTTTGTGGGTGGTGAATCTGAGGATCTGTCCCGGACTGAAGTGTCATTAGAGGAGGTTTTGGAACAAATAGAAAAACTTAATGTTAACTAATATCTGGGACCGGATGGCATTCATCCAAGGGTTCTAAAAGAACACAAATGGGAGATTGCTTAACTATTATCTGTGGTTTGTAACCTATCCTTTAAATCTGCTTCCATACCTAATGACAGGAAGGTAGCCAACGTGACACCAATATTTAAAAAGGGCTCTAGAGGCAATCCTGGCAATTACGGATTGGTAAGTAACTTCAGTACCGGGAAAATTAGTCGAAACAATAGTAAAGAGTAAAATTGTGAGGCATGTAGAAGAACATAATTTGTAGGACAAAAGTCAACATGGTTTCTGTAAAGGGAAATCCTGTCTTACTAATCTGTTAGAGTTCTTTGAAGGGGTTAACAAACATGCGGACAAGGGGGATCCAGTAGATATAGTATACTTAGATTTTCAGAAAGCCTTTGACAAGGTCCCTCACCAAAGGCTCTTGTGTAAATTACATGGCCATGGGATAAGAGGGAAGGTCCTTTCTTGGATTGAGAACTGGTTAAAAGAAAGGAAACAAAGGGTAGGAATAAATGGTAAATTTTCAGATTGGAGAGGGGTAACTAGTGGTGTACCCCAAGGATCAGTCCTGGGACCAATCCTTTTCAACTTATTCATAAATGATCTGGAGAAAGGGGTAAGCAGTGAGGTAGCAAAGTTTGCAGATGATACAAAACTGTTGAGGATAGTCAAGACAGAAGCAGACTGTGAGGGACTCCAAGAAGATCTCACCAAACTGAGTGATTGGGCAACAAAATGGCAAATGAAATTTAATGTGGATAAGTGTAAAGTAATGCACATCGGGAAAAATAACCCCAACTATACGTACAGTATGATGGGGGCTAATTTGGCTACAACAAATCAGGAAAGAGATCTTGGAGTTATCATGGACAGTTCTCTGAAAACTTCCACACAGTGTGCAGCGGCAGTCAAAAAGGCAAATAGGATGCTAGGAATTATTAGGAAAGGGATAGAAAATAAGACCCAGAATATCTTACTGCCCCTGTATAAAACTATGGTACGCCCACATCTTGAATACTGTGTACAGATGTGGTCTCCTCACCTCAAAAAAGATATTTTGGCCTTGGAAAGGGTTCAGAAAAGGGCAACTAAAATGATTAGGGGTTTGGAACGGGTCCCATATGAGGAGAGGTTAAAGCGACTGGGACTTTTCAGTTTAGAAAAGAGGAGACTGAGGGGGGATATGATAGAGGTCTATAAAATCATGAGTGGTGTGGAGAGGGCTGATAAAGAAAAGTTATTTATTAGTTCCCATAATAGAAGAACTAGAGGACACCAAATGAAATTAATGGGTAGCAGGTTTAAAACTAATAAAAGAAAGTTCTTCACACAGCGTGTAGTCAACCTGTGGAACTCCTTGCCAGAGGAGGCTGTGAAGGCTAGGACTATAATAGAGTTTAAAGAGAAGCTAGATAATTTCATGGAGGTTAGGTCCATAAAAGGCTATTAGCCAGGGGATAAAATGGTGTCCTTGGCCTCTGTTTGTCAGAGGCTGGAGAGGGATGGCAGAAGACAAATCGCTTGATCATTGTATTCGGTCCACCCTCTCTGGGGCACCTGGTGCTGGCCACTGTCGGCAGACAGGATACTGGGCTAGAAGGACCTTTGGTCTGACCCAGTACGGCCGTTCTTATGTAAGCTGCAGAATGCTCATTTTCCAACAACACTCTTCATCCTAGTCCAAATAGAGGTTTTATATGGATTAAGAACACTGATATTCCAAACTACAGGATGTGAGTATTGCTTCACAAGGTTGTTACAGTGTTATCAATTCTTGCAATTTTATGGTATTTAGTGTTGTTCTGGGCGGGCCACTGTCGGCAGACAGGCTACTGGACTAGATCGACCTTTGGTCTGACCCAGTACGGCCGTTCTTATGTCCCCAGAGATAGTCAGAACAACTGGCTCTAGGATGCTTGAAAAAGCTTCAGAATACTGGCTCAGAGGGTGTGATAAGGTGCTGAAGATGAGGCCTGTGTTGGGAACTCAGAGAATCTGAAGAAAAAACATTTCCTGAGGAGCCTCATAAATTAGTGCTGCTACTGAAGGCTGGAGGTCTTATCAGGTCCAATCCATCTATGTAATACTGTGAAAGT